ATGGGTTCAATGGGAAACACATGAACTTAAAAAAACCCTAGAAATTCTATAAATACATAAAAAAAATACTTTGAGATATCCATTTTTTTACTCTATAATCCTAAAAATCGCATTTTTTTATACAAACTTTTTGATTTTTTTTTTGGAAAAATATATAATTTTTTTCCAACGAATTTGTTTAAAATGTTTCGATTTTTAGGTCTATAAACTAAAAAAAAGATTAGATACCTCAAAATATTTTTTTTATGTGTTTTTATTGATTTTCTAGGGTTTCTAATTTGGTTTGAAGAAACAAAAATGATGAGTAGAGGTGGAGTCGTGATTTTAGAATAAGAATGTTGCATTGTTCGAGATATGTAAAGTGACAAAACAAGTTAATGACAAAATAATTAATTATATGAGCATATTTGTGTTACAAAATTGACTCAACTAGAAAAAACAAAAATAACTAGTTAGAGTAATTAATTTGTTATTTGTCAAATAACTAGAAATTAATTAATAATTAATCAAGAGGGATTAGTTTTCTATCTATTGATTCATCAATGAAATAACTATAAATCATGACGTAGCAAAACATAATAGTTGTGTCTGTTAACCATCATAATTGAGCAAACCTTGGAGGTTAAGAAGACTCTTTAGGGTTTCCACTTCCTATATATGGAGGCATGACCGAAAGAGCCCCCATTACAACCCTAATTTGTTCTCCCTCTCCTCCCTTTCTCTTTCAACTTTGACGACACAAAGAAGGCAACCCACTGGGACGTTTTTGCGACGTCCTTGTGCACTAAGTAAGACGAAGGAGTTTGTTTGCTTGCTTGAAGCCAAGGGGTGCGATTATATTAGAAAAATTATACTTTGGATCCTTAATCTTCTTGACATCATAAAGATATTCCTAATCGCCACCCCCGATAAATAGTTTGTTGGTATTAGTTGTTGAACAATGATCCATGGTTCAATCATGATATTTTATTTATGGATAATGTGCTTATATTTTGATTATATCGAAATTAGCATCATGGAACACCATATTTTCCACCAACTATACTAACCAAATATTGTGACAATATAAAGGAATATCATTTTATTGTTTTATTCAACTCCTTTAAAAGTTGCATAATCCAAATGATCCTTTCTTGTGTTGTGTGACATCCTCATTTTCACGGTCAGAAAAGACCGATTTTGTTTATGCTTTATAAAAATCAGAGTACATTTTTTAATAAAAATGTTGCAGAATTTGTTCCCAGAAAAACATGATAAATACGTTATCAAAGCATTTCCGAAGAAATGTATTTTATTCATTTTAAAACATTGGGATGTCATCGTCAATACAGAAACATAAGCATAAACAGAACTTACATTCATTATCACTAGTGATCTACATCTATTTAATCTCTCAGTGTAATGTAACTTCGTATCGGCACCTGTGATTCAAATAAGCTTGAGTGGTTCAGGTTGG